GGGGGGGAGGGTCGGCTTCGCATCCACGGCCCCCATTCAAATAATCCTGGGTCCACCCCAGCTAAGTGTTTTCTGAATAAAAGAACTCACACTCTTAAAAATTCATAAGAAAAAAATGTACCCCGGTTTTTTTGTGATTTCGTTCAATCAGGCTAATCTAAACAGAGGCCTTAGTTTAATTTTATTACCTTACAGCGTTTTCAACAAATTAAACCCATTTTATGGTCAGCTTCAGGCTGATTTATGGCAATTATTGCAGCGTGGTATAGTCGTTAAGCGCGTACAGATAGAATCTAATCACAAAATTTGATGTTACTGTACACGTTCAGCCCGAGTTATCCCAATTCGTGTGCACCTTTAACTTGTAAACAACTATTTATATTTATAGTTACGTCCGTGTGAGATAGAAAGTTCAAAATGATGACGCACAATGCAGAGTAAAAACGCTTTAATGTCACTTCATTCGTCTGGCAAATCATAGTTTACATTTTGCAGCGCACGTTATCTTTATTTTCTTAAAGCGAAATACCAACTGAAAAAACAAATATTTACGACAGTGTTCCTCTTAAGATCCGCTGGGGTTGGCGTGACTTCGATTATTAACCACAGAGACTAAGATAAAGCAGAGGCTTTCATATGGAGAATCTAGCCACAAAAATATCTAGATAAATAATTGGAAATGTTCACGCACCCTTTTTTATGGAGTAGCCGTAAAGCTCCTGAGTGAGAAATACATGCTTTTTCTCACTAAGATACATGTTCGAAAAGTGATCTCACACGATACATAAAGTAGCAAGTTAACGTGACTCACACAATTGTTTTATTATTTTATTTTTTACCGAGTACGTTTACCTAGTTAAAGACACGTACGGGTGTTTTGTATTTAGTCTGTCCCAATGCAGATCCGAAGTACATCAGACCACCAACTTGTTATTTTACAGACAGACCAATCAAAGATAAATGCACTTGTAATGTTTTGACGCAACCCTCACTCTTAAAAAGATATTCAAGTCTAATAAAAATTCATCATTTGTGTAATATTCTCAGTTACAATATAAGTATCTTTACGCCAACAGCTTAAGTCAAAGTTGGAGAAAGATTTCCAAACCCACAGTGGAAATAAGTCCAATCTAAGCTTATGTTGTGAAAAAACTTTTACTATAATAGAAATACAAAGGTATTTGTATCATGAAACACAACAGAAGAGAAGACACTGCTCCTTGTGATAAATGTATGATGAAATAAATGATAAAGAACATCTCAAAACTAAAAAAATTACAAAAGATGAAAAGGAACGGCCAATATTACAGGAAACGTTGGAGCCACTGATCAAAAGATATACAGGGAAATCTCGTGTGTGGAAATCTTGGAATATTTTGCTTCGTCAAGGTCATCTTTGCTTTTGATTTAGCGTTAATCAATGTTTACACTTACGTTTAAAAATCAGGCATACAGCTCTGACTGTATTTGAAAGTGAACATAGAAGCTAGTTAACCATGTTCACATCTATCAATGTATCTTATCGCTTCAATGAATGCATCATTTTAAGGAGGCTCTCTCAAGCAATTGTTCTTTGATATTTTACGTGTAAGACCAGACTGTAAATATCAAGACTTCAGATTTCATTTTGATAACGGATTGTGAGTTGGAGGACCGCACTTAATTAAGCACTACATTTAATTGACTAGAAAGGTTGACTCATACGTAAGTGACACAGGGCCGGTTTCACAAAATATCCCCTGTAACTTAAGAGTTAAAGTTGGTTTTATAGGGCAAATATAAGCCTAGGCATACAGCCTTCAGTCCACATTTTTTGGTGCAAAAGTTAAGACCCATTTTCATGCTATGGATCTTTTTATGAAACCGGCCCCTGTTATCAGACATTGCTTTTAAGGCGAGCATGTTTTCGCTGAACTGAGACCACAAATTATACTCATAGCGTCACTGCAATCATATCATAGCATGTGTCATGTTTATAACGTATTTACTATTGGTCAGTTATACATTTTATGGGATCTTCGAAGAAATTAAGATGAGTCTTTTATTTTATTAAGTATTGGAATTAAAAACCTGTCACTGCGTTTATTGATTATGATATATATAATAATCTCTTATCAGCGCTCCAATTACATTATTTTGACTGATGTAATGAAATGCTAATGTAGACATTCAGAAAACGTAACTTCTTGTTACACAAGGCTTCGGGGCAATGGGACTTTAATGACACACATGGAAATGTCAATGATGAAAATAAAAAAAATTCACTAACGCACACAAAACGCACAAATACCGAGGAATAATTGAATTACGCTTGTTTTCAAACTCGAGCTTTATCTTTAGTCCTAAGGATAAACTTTTTTACGATTTAGAATAAAAAGAAGTATAGTTTTCCTTTGATGTTGGTATCGAGGAAAGTATACATGATGGCACTAAGGGTGATTAATGACGCTGGCGATGGCTATATGCCCAGACACAGTGTTTGCTAGTAAAATAAGAAAGAACTGATACAGTGGTCGATTGAATCAGCCATTTAATGTCCCTGTTTAGTAAATAAGATCGGTTCAATTAATTTTGACCGTAATACCATTTGAGACACAAACACTACATTAAGAAGAAATTCTCGGCATACAAAACACGCTGTTTTTAAATCCACGTCCAAAATAGTAACAGAAATATTACATATTAACTTGTGATGGTGGGACACGAGGCGTTTGGATCAGGGAATGACGTCATAATTCTGATATGGACGACCTATTTGCCATAGTGTAGGCCCCAACCATCATTCTGTGACAAACTGTGAAAACCTACAAAATATAAGCAATATAAAAATGATAGGTATAATTCATTAACAATGCATTCCTCTACAGGCAGCCAGATAATCGCATTTATATTGTTTAAAAGATTAAAAGAGATTGATGTTGTAATATATATTTTGATTGTTTATTCAAGAACAGATGTGATAAAATAGTCGCTAAATCTGTAAACAATTTACTTTGTATGGATTGATTTCTTACCGTTGGGACATCTTTTAAAACCAGAGTTGGTTCCTGGTTTGTCCGTGACACGGCTAGGCAAACCAGTAGCAGAGCGCTTTCTAAAGCATCTTGAAGAAAGGAGAAAATGTTCTTTATTATTTTTAATTTGCCATAATATACAACAGTCAATTTTGCCCAGAAATCACTGAGCAGAAATCAGATATGCCCTTTGTATTGACAGTCGATCGCTAGATAGATATATAGACAATCTGAATTCATGTAGGTTAGAAAATCAAAAGAAAGGAAAGAAAATAGGGAAACATCAAAAAATTATAGATAAGGTACAAATAAATATAACGTGTTAATTTATATCCAGTCATCCATAGTATTCATTACTTTATTTGATTCAACGTATTGACATTACTGATGCATTACCTTCGACTTCCAGAGACGTAGGAAAGACTCCAAAATTGGCACTCGGCAGTCTCGGCACAGAGTCTTTGACATTCTTCGTTACCTAATGAGTAACTCGCGTAATCTACGGGTACGCCCATAATGTCCAAATCATTGCCAGGAAAGTCTGTGTCTCTGAACTCACAGTCTGTAAAACATCCATTTACATTTTTACTATATTGTATGCTTCGAAAATTACAGATATGTGTATATTTATTTGTATATTCTCTCAGATTGACATTTTCCAAGAATGGGCGCCATTTCTATTACAATCCAGATGTTAAATTGGAATGTTCCATGCAATTTAAGGAGTATTTCTGTTCTTTCGAAATTCGGACCCTGGATTCGTAAAGTGTGCTCAACTTAAGAAATTGAAAATACCGTCTAGAAAAAAAGGTAACAAAAAGAAGATATTGCCTACCGCCAGGGCATTTTTTGAATCCAGAATCCACGGACCAATTATTTTCTATGCGTCCCGGAAGTTCTGAATTTTGATTGCTTGAGCTCTTAGTCCAGCATCTGAGAATATAATCAACACAATTTGATTTATATCTCTTTGATCTAAACCGACTTAAAAAATAAGACAGTAAAAGATTAGAACAAACTCAAGCTTTATGGTGAAAAATATTGTCGTTACTTGACATCAAAAGTACATGTAGTTACACATGGATTTGACATTTATCAATTAAAACGACGAACTCATACATTCCAATATTGGCAAATAGTCCAAGTTACACGTGGGATTGGCAGTTATCAACTAAAATAACGAACTCACACATTCCAATAGTGGTGGTAAGTCCAATATTGGCAGCGACCGTCTGCAGAACAGTACTGCTGGCACATGGTTTCTGTGACGTTCTCAAACTTGTCCAAGTCGTCCCACTTGAGATCAATGTACCGCAACTTGCATGGCGGCTCTGAAATATAATAATAATAATAATAATAATAATAATAATAATAATAATAATGATAATAATAATAATTTGGTTTTGGATATGGCAGACCTTGTTAATTAAGGAAAGCTACTGAAATCCCAACTCACTATTTTTCAGTAATCTTTATTTATTTATTGGTCATGTGGTTATCTATTGCTTTTTGTGTCTTTCAATACCTTGGACACTTGAAAGCTGACACCTCCGTCCGCTGGCGTACGAGGGACAAGCACAGTAGTAATCTGAGTAGCCGTACGAGTTGGTTCTACAGGTTCCCCCATTCAGACACGGATTTGATACACATGGGTCATATCCTGGTGTGGCTGGCGATATAAAAAAATGCGAAATATAATCAACATATAAACTATAAAATTAAAACGCTAGGTATCTCTCTACCTTTGCGTCATACACATTCTCTGATTATTATTTTTTTAAAAGTAAATAAATAAATAAATAAATAAAAAATTTAAAAAATGAAAATAAAATGCGGTGAATTTAACTTACATTTGTAAAAAGACGCCACAGTTGTTGTCTTTTGACCATCGGGTCCTGTAAAAAATGTGTTGTAAATTGCAATCTGCAAATAATTAAGCTGGCCTCATTGAACTAGTCATATCCTAACTTAATTTGTTATTGAGATTTACAGGGGGGTGGGGGGTGGGTTGCAAACACGTGTCCACCGGCAATAAAAATTCTTTAAAAAAATGAGAGAGACAGGGGGTTTGTGTATGTTTGTGGCAGAGAAAGAAAGACAGAATCGGGACTATAGGCCTACTGTAAATATTTAAAGGAAGTAGAAATCACTTATCTAGGCTTATACCGTACAGAGAGAGGGGGGGGGGGAGAATTGGGGCTAAAGTAATTATATAAGTAGAATAGGGATATATTCATACCATAATAATATTCACAGTATTTCCCTGTGGTCGAAGGTTGACAAACACAGTATCCGTATCCGCTATCACTGTTAAAACACGTGCCCCCATTCTGACACCAGATAGAGGCACAGTAGTTGGGATATTTGGTGGGTGCTGGATAAAGAAAAACATGGGACTTCAGATAGTATTCGTTACTTTAACAACTATAGCAACTAGGAAAGAAAACATTTTTCACGTTTGGACCTACTAATACAAGTTTTCATCCATCAATTTGGATGTTTATTGTTCAAAAGGAACATTTTTTACNAGAGGGTCGGCTTCCAAGACCTGTGAAAAAAAAAAAAAAAAAAAAAAAAAAAAAAAAAAAAACGAACCGGTAGAGTAGAGTAATTATCTATTGCATTAATCAGATAAAACTTACCCGTACTCCAGGTCGTCGCCTCTGCGTAGTTGGTCGAGGCTTGAATTATAATATATAATATGAGTATAAAAATGGCGATTGTGCATATAAAATGCATAACTACTTTTCAAATTATGTAAACAACAGTGAAGTCTTTAACAATGCGTGCTGTAATATACTCAAAAGTGAAGGTGAAAATACTGTCAGGACAATTAAATTATTATTTAAAAAATGAAAACAACGAGATGTGAGTCAATAGTATGTATAAATGTGTTTTAGAGAAGCTTTTTTTATCTGGCTTAAAAATAAACAATTTTGAACAGGCGCAAATAAAGAAGTAACAAAGTCGTCCAATGACGTCACATCCTAACAACATTTATTAATATGGTATTTTTTAATTTCTTTTTCATAACTCCTTTCTCTTGATATTATTTAGTACAGTGTAGTAGTTAAAGTAGTTTCCCGCCGTTTTCTTCTTTTTATTATCATTAATAATAATAATAATAAATAATTTATTATCACTATTTGGTAAGTTTATTGTATCGGGAACACTTCACCTACTTTACCTACCTTTATTTTCACACAATCTCCCGTTATAAGGTATCTGACATATGCAATAGGCATATCCCGAGTCTGTCACTTGACATGAGCCCCCGTTTTTACACTGAATACCGCCACAGATCGCCGGGGACAGCGTCGCCACTGTCGTCTCTTTGGGTTTGTCTATAGCAAAATGGGGAAAAAGGGGGTTTATTTAGGTAACATCTACCAATATGAAAAGAGGGTGTGTTTTTCAAATCATATTTTCAAGATCCGATCGGAAAGTTGATGATCCACATCCTTGCTCTTGATCAACTCTGCAGTATTTATAGTGTTTATTTAATAAACACCCGTGAAAAGGAAGTGGTAAAATGGGGAGATAAAAATCTGATTTTTTAGGAAAAAAATAAAAACGGGTCTGAAGGGGAAAAGATACCCTTTACCAAGGCTACAGTTATTATGTGGACATTTTCTCTGAGGCGAGTACACAGTCAATTTAACCATAACACGTCTGTGAATATCTGGTTGAAAATCAATCTGTGGCCTTGGTAGAGGGTAAGGAAAAGAAGATCGAGACATTCAAGTAGAAAGAAAGCTACATACCCATTTTATATTCGCAGTACTTTCCACTAGTGAATGGTTGGCACACGCAATACCAGAATCCGCTGTCACTGTTCATACAGGACCCGCCATTTTGACACTTGACGCCTGCACAATAGTTCGGATACGTTGTCCTCCTGGCTGTGGAAAAAAGGGCTTGTTAAAAATGGCCATTAGCTTGGTAGTTGGAGCAAAAATAAAAATAAAAACCGTTAGCTTAGGGTGCATTCCCAGGGATTTAGAACGAGCAGAGATTTAGATTTTGATCGACCTAACTCCCTGGGGGTTCACGCTAAATTGCAGTCAGCCGAGCGCGCACCATATTAATTACCCCCTTACAGCTTTTAGTAGGCGGGACAGACGCTTAAGCCGGTTAAGCTGACAGTAATCTAGTGAGACTCCCCACAGGGATAGATCGATCTAAAATCTATGGGAATGGTGTCTTAGCTCACCACCTACAGGTAGCGGTCAGTGAGTGTCAACATCTGCTCACATCAGTCATATGAACGCCTTCGCCCAGAAACGGTATGGAAGTTTTTCGGCTTGTGTTCGACAATTTTCATTTATTATGTTGTCATGTTACATAAGTTGTTTATTTTACATAGACCGATTTAAAAGTGGTAGGTCGTTTAGAAAACGTTGAATGTGTGTAATATTTTTGTGAAGTAAAAGTTGTTTCGATCTTTGTGAACGAAACCTTCTCAGTGGTAAACAAATCACTCTTCTTTGTGTTTAATTCCTTGAAATCTATAAAGCTAAAGATGAAAAACCGAAAATAGTTGTTGGTAGTATCTTTCTCTAGCACTTGTGGTTCCTATAAAAACCTTTGATAGCCCTGAAACTACAGATAACGGTGATCTTATATAATTTGAAACCAATGAAGTTACTGAAATGATAATTGGAACATTCTAGACCTCCCCCAGCAATAAAACAATAATAATAAGATAATAATAATAATCATGAAAGCAAATAGGATAAAAGAATATATAAAAATAACAAAAAAGAATAACACGATTCCTATTATAACTATTTTTAATGAAAAAACTGGTTTGCAGGGGCAATAAAGTAATTATATAAGTGGAATAAGGTAAATCGAAACTTTTAATATTGGTAAAATATGCACGTTCTCTTACCTGACGGAGTCGTGGTAGGCACCCAGTATTGACAGTATGTACCGGTGTAACCGCCCTTACAGACACAGGTTGCGTAACTTTCCCAACGCCGAACACATGTTCCTCCGTTATAGCATGTTAACTTAGAGCATGGGTCTATAGAGGAATAATATAATAATGATTTTTATAAAATAAAGCATATATTTTCGAAAGAATATCGTGATAGATGTTGTTCAAGTGCTGCTGTTTCAAATGTTACAAGAAAACTAGTCCCTTATTAGTTCCGCCAAGGAGCTTATGTCTGTCTGTTTGTTTGTTTGTTTGTCTGTCATCAACATAACTCAAAAAGTTATGGACCGATTTTGATGAAATTTTCAGGAACTGTCAGAAGTGGGCCAAGGAAGAGATGATTAGTTTTTGGTGGTGATCCGGATCAATAATCAATCAAAAATAAAAGAAAATTGCTGCCTTGGCCGAGGTCTGCGCTCTCGTTAATTGATAGAATTAACAGTGACAGACACATATGAGTGGCAGACAAAAATGAGTGGCAGACACACTATATTGATCTAGACACTCCTACTCCATTGGTCATCCCAAGCCCTTCCTTCTGATAACAGTGCCCTGAATTCTCAGGTCACCCTTGCCACTAACTCCCTCTGCCCTTCGATCCCCGGGAGAAAGCCAGATGTTATACAGATAGCCTATATTTTGATCGTGAAGAATGGTTCAGGATTTATTAGGATTGGTTAGGCAGGTTTAATAAATAAGTCGAACTTTAGCTAAAGAAAAAAATGGCATTAATATTAAGACAAAAACTAAGTTTATTTTGGCCCAAGTCAAATCAGAAGCAGTCCACGTGTACACGATAAAACACAAAACAGAATTTTTTCAAAGCAGATCGAGAGATTGATGACAATGTGCGTTTATATTATTTTCATAATTGATATACATCAAATCATTTAAATATCAATGCTAATGATCAAATGACATAACAGTTAAGAGAGATTACAGTGACGAGGAATAACGAAACGATAGCTTAGATATGCCATAAGCATTCGTTTTTACAGATGAAAAGTGCAATAATACCTCGGAGTATCGAAAGCGTGAGGATGAGGATTTCAGAGGTACATTCCCTCTTAAAAGTTCGCCTTCTTTACAATTCTTCGTTTAAACAAATAATCTACTGTCTAGGTTTGAACTAGCAATCCTGCTCACTTTGAATCTGATAGGTTTGTGTATCTTGTGTAGGCCGAAGTGCAAACGCGTATACGTGATGGCGAATTTTGGCGCTCACTGATGGGTCGAGAGGCAATCACGTGCGAATTTTGTGTGTCGACAACTTGGTCAAATCATCCATCCATTTTGGTTCTGCGTGAACCAGAAACGTCATCAGTAAGTCCTCAATGTGTGTAAATTATTTTCAATTATCTAAATAATTCGTGATCACGTAACAAAGCAGTTATCACATTTGTGTTTCAGTCACTTTTTAGCTAGGTTTAACTTTCATCTGTGCTAAAACAACCATGCCAAAAACTTGTATACATATTTGCACGCAAGTCTCTTAACAAAATTACACTGATATTTCCAAAACCTACCGCTAACCGTAGTCTTTGACTGAGACCAGCAGGACCCAATCCCAGCAAGCACTAAAACAGTGAGATACCAGTTCCTTGCCATCTTTATTACAAAATAACTTGGTGACACTTCCTTGTGGTTATATACTGTGTATAAGGAATTATCGAGGTGCGTCTTTCTTATCACATCACTTGACATGTGGAATAGTTTACACTTACCCTGAGAATCCAATCAAAGTTTTAAGTATTGGCATTAAAAGGGATTTGCAATTTGCAAATAACACCCTGTTCTGGCAATTTCGTCCATTTTTTATCTTTTAATTATTTCGTCAGCCTTTCGTTCGCCATCTTCTGCCAACCTTACTGCGGCTACAGCATTCAGTTGGTGTATTCTGTAGTACAGTCCTTGAGTACACATACACACCGAAATCTTGGGTGTTTTTACATTCTGTACCTTTAAAAGTTGGTGTTTATTAACGAAAATTAGACTTAATTTGTAAAACTATAAAAGTCAAGATGGTAATTAAGATAACATATTACAGCATTTTAGTAGTAATCAACATATCCGTCACATGAAGCAATCCTAGCGCCATGGGTACAAGATATTGCGCAATATTTGAGACGTGCATTAAACTCTATCTATTAAACAATCCAGCTTAGGCTGACATATGAACAGGCAAAATTTTAACAGGGTAAGCCCATGAGAGTGAAAAATAATACAGCAATTGCCACATTGTAGGCCTTGACACTCATTACTAGACTGTCAATACGGGGACGAACTTGTTGGAAAAAATACAGGTATTATAAAAATATCCAGTGTGACTGCTTTTGTAATTTGAGCTTTATTTTAGAAAGATCGATATATATGTTAAGATTTTTTTGCTTATTCTCTTATATAATGTGGATTAAATATTGCCATGTTATGAAATGAAGCTTTCGCACCAAACGTAAATCAGATAACGTTGCCAATTCGAGGAGGTGGCTACTTTTGGCGTGGTTTTTGGAAGTGAGAAATATCACTTTCAAACAGATTTCCCTCATCTGAATAGCTAACAATACCGTTTTAGAGTATGCTCGATCACAACAATAAATACAACAATCTGGTGCCAGTGAATTTACTTGCATGGTTTACATACTTTAGTAAAATTTATTCAGTAAAGAGTCAAAAAATCTTTTTACAATGAAACATCGCAATTAGAGGCTCGTATTTCCTGTACAGACAATTTTAATCAAATGCTGGCAAAGATTGTGGATCCCACCCTAGTCGTAAACCGTTCCATTGTTCATTATATTATCATATTTAATTACGAAGTCACTATCTCACAGCAATTTACTAATTAGCGATTATCGCTGTCAACCTTCAGCGTTAAAGTCAGGGGCAAATCCAGAGTTATTTTCTGACAGTCTTCCAAATTATCTTTGTTGATCCATCCTCCATTTTTAACCGTCTTCCGACAGAAAAAATTAGATACCCGTCAATGTAAACTTGAAAATCTCACCGTCTTCCGGAAGACCCAGTTCACGCCCTAAATTCTCCCCTGCTAAAGTTAGTGAGTCTAGTCAAGGGTGGTGAGCAAAGCAGCAAAAAGAGATTGTGCTCTGCAAGTTGTTATTTATGTTATTGCAATAATATCAAGATAAGTTTTTCACATTAAAAAACGCAGAAAAACTGTGTTTGGGTCCTACGGATCATTATTGTACGTTTGTAAATAATAAGTAACACGTTTGCTTTAATGCTGTTATCAAGAGAAGTGCGCTGAGACGCTCAAGACCGCGGCTGAGTCAGAGGGTGGCTATAGGTATATGGCCAGACGCATAGTGTTTGGACGTAAAAAAGAAACAACTCACACAGTGGTCAATCGATTCAGCCATTTACTGTCCTTTTTTAGTGCAAGAGATCGGTGCTTTTACTTTTGACTGCATTTCTTTTTAAGACACAGATAATATGCTGAGCAGAAATTGTCGGCATATTAAACATGTTATTTTGATCTTCACGTTCAAAATGGTTATAGAAATGTTACATATCCGTTTGTGTTGCTGCCATTTGGGATTCAAGACGTCTGGATCAGTGAATGACGTCATACTTCTGATATGGGCGACCTATTTGCCAATTAGTGGACCAGATCCGTTCTGGGACAAAACTTGAAAACCTACGAAATGAAAAGTAATAATATAAAATGTTTTATAATTATACATAGTTGGCATTTAATATGGAATATTTTCTTAGCCTTTTTCTATTATTTGCTTTTGTTTTTCTGATTACTGTAAATAAACTTCTAGTTACTATGATATCCGTTCCTTAAATGAATTCATCAATAGTGCATTAGGAAAATGCACTATATAAAAATACAGTTCTTTCCGCCAGGACAATTCTTAAAACCAGAGATCAAGCCCCTGCGATAATTTATTCGTCCAGGAAGTCCGGACAATTTTAAGGTGATATTCTTTTAAACATCTTTATTCTCAAGAGGGTTAAACATTGATACAGTATAAATGAAGGTGGCAATTCGCCTAGGCATTGTATGCTCACCTTTGAAATTTAATAATAATAATAATAATAATATTCAAGGAAAAGACAGTGACGAGGACATGAGTGGCATTAGAGGGGAGTGAGGAACAGGGCATGGGGGAAAGGTAATTATGTGGTGGGGGGGGGGGGGGAAAATAGGCCATCAAGAGAGAGTGGTAGGCGCCAGAACAAAAATGGAGGAAGATTCAGACATTTTTGATTAAGAAAACCGACACTATTTCGAAAATTTTGTCGTTTTGTCCAGATATAAGTGTTTTATGGCCTTGTAAGTTGATATAAGAATATATTATGAAAATCACTCAAAATCATCCAGAATCGACCCGTCTCCGATTTTTCCAAAATGTGACAAAAATCAATCTACCACAACTGTCATTCATAAAAAATGTGGAAACGCGCCCGGATCACTTCATTAAAGTCCCCAATTTCAGCTTTAAAGATTGCCAAAAAGCACACCTGAGAACAGGATTTGGAGAGAGGGGGGGTGGAGAGAGTTTTTGCTCTATTTCTTCCTTAATAATGACACAACCACTCTTCCAGCACTTTATTCTGACTACAAATGACCAAACACACCTACCTGACACAATATTGAAGAAAAAAATTTTTCATCCCTACCTGGCCAAAATTGAAGAAAACTGCCATATCCGGACCTTACGAAAATCACTCAAAATCACCCAAAAATGACCCGTCAAAAATTTTTCCAAAAAGTGATGAAAATCAATTTACCACACCTGACATTCATAAAAAATGTGGAAACGCGCCCGGGTCACTTCATTAAAGCCCCCAATTTCAGCTTTAAAGATTGCCAGAAAGCACACCTGAGAACAGGATTTGGAGAGGGGGGGGTGGAGAGAGTTTTTGCTCTATTTCTTCCTTAATAATGACACAACCACTCTTCCAGTACTTTATCCTCACTACAAATGACCAAACACACCTACCTGACACAATATTGAAGAAAAAAATTTTTCATCCCTACCTGGCCAAAATTGAAGAAAACTGCCATATCCGGACCTTACGAAAATCACTCAAAATCACCCAAAAATGACCCGTCAAAAATTTTTCCAAAAAGTGATGAAAATCAATTTACCACACCTGACATTCATAAAAAATGTGGAAACGCGCCCGGGTCACTTCATTAAAGCCCCCAATTTCAGCTTTAAAGATTGCCAGAAAGCACACCTGAGAACAGGATTTGGAGAGGGGGGGGTGGAGAGAGTTTTTGCTCTATTTCTTCCTTAATAATGACACAACCACTCTTCCAGTACTTTATCCTCACTACAAATGACCAAACACACCTACCTGACACAATATTGAAGAAAAAAATTTTTCATCCCTACCTGGCCAAAATTGAAGAAAACTGCCATATCCGGACCTTACGAAAATCACTCAAAATCACCCAAAAATGACCCGTCAAAAATTTTTCCAAAAAGTGATGAAAATCAATTTACCACACCTGACATTCATAAAAAATGTGGAAACGCGCCCGGGTCACTTCATTAAAGCCCCCAATTTCAGCTTTAAAGATTGCCAGAAAGCACACCTGAGAACAGGATTTGGAGAGGGGGGGGTGGAGAGAGTTTTTGCTCTATTTCTTCCTTAATAATGACACAACCACTCTTCCAGTACTTTATCCTCACTACAAATGACCAAACACACCTACCTGACACAATATTGAAGAAAAAAATTTTTCATCCCTACCTGGCCAAAATTGAAGAAAACTGCCATATCCGGACCTTACGAAAATCACTCAAAATCACCCAAAAATGACCCGTCAAAAATTTTTCCAAAAAGTGATGAAAATCAATTTACCACACCTGACATTCATAAAAAATGTGGAAACGCGCCCGGGTCACTTCATTAAAGCCCCCAATTTCAGCTTTAAAGATTGCCAGAAAGCACACCTGAGAACAGGATTTGGAGAGGGGGGGGTGGAGAGAGTTTTTGCTCTATTTCTTCCTTAATAATGACACAACCACTCTTCCAGTACTTTATCCTCACTACAAATGACCAAACACACCTACCTGACACAATATTGAAGAAAAAAATTTTTCATCCCTACCTGGCCAAAATTGAAGAAAACTGCCATATCCGGACCTTACGAAAATCACTCAAAATCACCCAAAAATGACCCGTCAAAAATTTTTCCAAAAAGTGATGAAAATCAATTTACCACACCTGACATTCATAAAAAATGTGGAAACGCGCCCGGGTCACTTCATTAAAGCCCCCAATTTCAGCTTTAAAGATTGCCAGAAAGCACACCTGAGAACAGGATTTAGAGAGGGGGGGGTGGAGAGAGTTTTTGCTCTATTTCTTCCTTAATAATGACACAACCACTCTTCCAGTACTTTATCCTCACTACAAATGACCAAACACACCTACCTGACACAATATTGAAGAAAAAAATTTTTCATCCCTACCTGGCCAAAATTGAAGAAAACTGCCATATCCGGACCTTACGAAAATCACTCAAAATCACCCAAAAATGACCCGTCAAAAATTTTTCCAAAAAGTGATGAAAATCAATTTACCACACCTGACATTCATAAAAAATGTGGAAACGCGCCCGGGTCACTTCATTAAAGCCCCCAATTTCAGCTTTAAAGATTGCCAGAAAGCACACCTGAGAACAGGATTTGGAGAGAGGGGGGGTGGAGAGAGTTTTTGCTCTATTTCTTCCTTAATAATGACACAACCACTCTTCCAGTACTTTACCCTCACTAGAAATGACCAAACACACCTACCTGACACAATATTGAAGAAAAAAATTTTCATCCCTACCTGGCCAAAATTGAAGAAAACTGCCATATCCGGACCTTACGAAAATCACTCAAAATCACCCCAAAATGACCCGTCACCAATTTTTCCAAAAAGTGATGAAAATCAATTTACCACACCTGTCATTCATAAAAAAATGTGGAAACGCGCCCGGATCACTTCATTAAAGCCCCCAATTTCAGCTTTAAAGATTGCCAGAAAGCACACCTGAGAACAGGATTGGAGAGAGGGGGAGTTCCTTAATAATGACACAACCACTCTTCCAGTACTTTACACTCACTACAAATGACCAAACACACCTACTGATCTTTATAATGAATAAAAAAAGATGACCCAAAACCACATATTTCCAAATGTAAAAGCACCAGCCATCCTCACAGTTTAGGTCTTCAAAATTACATAGATTCATAAATGTGTCAATATTGAAAAAACTAAAAGATATTACAAAAATTTTGTTTTGGTCAAAAAGTTACACTACCGAAAAACTATTGAGAAAAACCACGAATTATTAATTTTTATTCCCTTTTTATGCATTTGTCTAATGCTCAGTAGGTATGTTTTAATACCTGGAGAACTGGAAAATTGACATCTGTACCCTTTAGCGTACCAAAAGTTACACTACCGAAAAACTGTTGAGAAAAACCATGGATTATCAAGTTTTATTCCCTTTTTATGCATTTGTCTAATGCTCAGTAGGTATGTTTTAATACCTGAAACTGGAAAATTGACATCTGTACCCTTTAGCGTACCAGGGGCATGTGCACTGGTACTGGTAGTTTGACCATCCAGACGGTGTACAGGTGCCCCCTGTTGGGACAGGGATTTGAAGCACATCATATCGCGGTGTTGCTGGCGATATAGAATTAAAACAGAATTTAAACAACATAATCAATGCATAAATCATTAAACGAAATCGCAAGTTACCTCTGTATTTCTGGGTCATACAAGTAAAAATATATGGTGTAACCGAAGTGAAAATGCATTGATTGTATGCTTAAGGTCTCGCTTTTCAAAAAGTAAATCGCTTATGTATCCACAACTTACCGCTAGCCGTAGTCTCTGCCTGTGACCTGCCTAGGCCAATAGCGACTATCAATAAAACACTAAGAGACCATTCCCACAGATATTTAGACTGATCTATCCCCGTGGGGAGTCTCACTAGATTGTAGTCAGCTTAACCAGCTTAAATGTCTGTCCCGCCTTCTAAAAGCTGTAAGGGGGTAATTTACTTTTGTGTGCGCTCGGCTCCCGGAAACTGACAGCAATTTAGCGTGAACCCCAAGGGAGTTATGTCGATCCAGATGGATCGATCTAAATCTGTGGGAACCCAGTCTAAGACACTAGTTCCTTGCCATTTCTATTACACAATACGAAGTAACACATCTGCACGGGTTATATATGGTATATATACATAAGGAATCATCGAGGAACGTCTTTCTTATCACGTTTTGACATATGGGATAGTTAAGAAGTTACCGAGGTTTTGAAACAAAAATTCCATTCCCAGTATTTAAGGATTGATTCAGCTTCCAAAGATGGGACATCCATTTCTGGTCATTTTATTCATTTTTTTTCAATTTAATCAGCGTTAAGTTCGCCATCTCTTCAGTCGTACCGGGCCTGAGAAATTCAGTAATATATCATTCGTCTTAAAGGCAATATCAAGGCCATTCGGGTAAAAGAATGGGTATTGTGACAGTGCAATAATTAAAACGTCCAGTGGATTTTATCAATCAAAAATAAGGAAAACTGATAAAGTAATATTTTGAACGTATCCCTTCATCCTAATTACGACCCCAGACGCATAGCGGTTGGTGTAACTTTTTTAAATTATACATTTTTCTACGACATTTCGTGCATTTGTCACATGTTATCAGCTTTCAGGAGATATTTTCGCACCTTTGGTATCGTTCATGGTTACATTACTATAATAAACAAAAATGTGTGTTTTGAAGCAGTGCCATGCAAATCAATTTATTTATTTTGTCTCATAATGACGTCAGATCCAATTTAAAACAACCACGTGTTGAGTTTACCAGACTGTCACTTAACTTTATTCTTTATACTTCAGAGATACTGTACACTTGAAAGTCCAAAATAATACTGCCAAGTGTCTTCACTTGAAATATCTTCCAATAAGTTCAGAGACATGACCATATGGACCATTATATTCTGAGAGGGGCACAGTAAAAAATAAAAATAACAGCAAATAAATAAATAAATAAATTTGAAAAGAACTCATAAAGCCTATTGCATCCAGCATTGTCAATTTGCTAATGAGCTCATCTTATATTTTCTGGCAAATCTCCCAAGAGTCCATATTGGAAACACATTGCGGTAACTGGTGTAGCTGATAGCACAGGACTTGTTGAAGACACCACTGATGTTCTCCTGAAATGATACACAGTATAATGGTGACAAGGTGCATGGCTAAATAAAATGCTAGAGAAGAAAATGTGCTGCAAATTGTTAAAGCCAAAACTATGCTGAGATGAAAAAATTTAAAATTATTATAATTTCTCTATCATTATCATGATGATATTAGCATTTGGCAATAAATTAAATAAATAAACAGTATGAACATTGGGAGCTAAAGCATTGGCTATGCAAATTCTTTTAAACAGTTAAAATAACAATTAAAATACAGTGACTGGGCCAAAAAAAAAAAAAAGGATTTCCATGTTGACAATTGTATAATCAATATACATAAGATTGACAATTGACAAAATCCGCAGGGCAAGACCACAGTTTTTTAGAGCCATATGTAACAGTTTAAGCTGCAAACCAGACAATGATAAAAAATAAAACTCAATATTTTGTCTATTTCTAAGTCTTCTCCAATTTTCTGTCTCAAAATTAATTTATGTAACATTCTTATTTCCATGGCGTTGCCCTTGACTTTGTCGCCATATCTAAATTTGTTTTTCACTCTTTGACTTCAAAGCATCAAGTTTGTATCCATGGCCTAATTTTTGACCATTGACCCTGAAATATGACCTTTGACCCTTACTGACCTGTGGCCAGTCACCATTGTCCAGCTGCCGCTGCATGATTACTCGTATACCATGTTCTATTAAAGCAACATCTGGGTATCTGAAATAATTGATAAAATTCAATACTTTAAGTACATTAGAAATGGTGCCACTTGAGTTCTTAGAAATATGTAAAGTGAATCTAAAAACAATTATACCTATCATGCTATCTTACTTTATTTTATTGCCACTTGAAGATAATTTCACTCTTGCATATAAAAAACAGTGTGCCATTCGTCATGTAACAGACTTTATTATGCCAAAGTCAGCACTTACAAACAGTAGGACATCAATTGCACTTGTATTTCACTTAGATGTAATGGGGACATGAAAGACCACGGAACTCTGAAACATATTAAAACATGGGTAGGGAAAATAAGTGCAATTGTATAAAGCGCCGAGAGGTCAAACTAATTTCCATCCTCTGCCTACCTTACTGCCATGAGTCCAAGCAACGCCCAGCACGTGTTGACCACCTGTGATGTGTCCGACTGGACGTACTCTCTGAGCTCACACGACTCAAAGTTCTCCCCCCAGCCCCCATCTGCCATCTGCTTGGAGATGAGGAAATTGCACGCTTTTCTCACTTCAGGTGGAACATTTCTGAAAAAGAATCATGGTTAAAGAATAAATTGTTGTTTTTTTCTTTTGGTTTCTGCTGTAGTATTTGATAAAGCAAAAGTAATTTGTGATGCTATCTTACATAAAAGGCAATTATGTAATTCAGTAAAAATCCAACAGTTGTTCTGGAATTAGCTATCTTTGACCCCATTCCCATAGATTTTAGATCGATCTATCCCTGTGGGGAGTATCACTAGGTTACTGTCAGCTTAGCCGGCTTAAGCGTCTGTCCTGCCTACTAAAAGCTGTAAGGGGGTAATTAACTATGGTGTGCGTTCGGCTGACTGCAATTTAGCGTGAACCCCCAGGGAGTTAGGTCGATCTAAATCTAAATCTCTGGATCGAACTAAATATCTGGAAATGCACCCTTAGACTCAGTTAAAGTAAAACTCAGTTAAAGTTAAACTGAAACATTAAAACAAACAAAAGGACATAAGCCCAATCCCAATATTGCACATTCCAAGCAAAATGCACAATATACTACCTCTTTTGCATAGTTTCATTATAGAATTGTGGGGCAACTAAAATTACACATTTTGCTGGAAATCAGTCAATTTCTGATATCATAGCAGGATGCAAAATACTATCAAAGTAAGGCACATGGCTGCTGTAGATTCTATAGGGCACCAGTACTTACTCTGTATCATATCTGTATCCCATTGCAGCAAATGCCTCTAGACCAAACCAAGTACCATAGGTGAAACACACTCCCCATGACCTGCAACAAAACACAGTCAAAAGTAAATAAATACAAAATAATATGTTCCTCACATAACGAAAAGCATCTAAATATATGCAATTATGTACCTGGGCTGGTAAGGCACTGTTAAATACAAGCCTCTAAACCATAAATTATGCTTAATTTTAGACAAATTGAATGCATAAACGCGTAATACAGTGGTCACTTATTGGAAATGCATGATGACTTTAGCCTGGTCTAACACTTAGCCGGCCTTAAAAGGCAGATTTTCCATGTTTTTTTTTTAACTTAATATGCTTTAAGCTCCTCGTGACCAGAAAGCATTATGCATGATACTCAAATGCATGATAACACAAATATACTAACGAATAAATAAATAAATAAATAAATAAATAAATAAATAAATAAATAAATAAAGTGGAGATTTGTACAAACAGACAACACGTACCCTTCCCATGACCCATCATTCCTTTGTTTACTCTTCACATACTGGAGGCCAGATTCTAATGTTTGCCTGGAAACGAAAAAGCAAAACTGTATAAAAATGACATTTCAAAATATTCTGTACAGATATGAGGAAAGAGACCTGGCAGTTCCTTCAATTAAACTATACTATCAGTTATTACATATGGATGACCTGTGTCTGTGTTGCTTCCATTCTTACAGGCAAGACTCAACATCATATGCTAAAATGCAAAGTTTACAGCAAACATTGGAATCACTAATTTTGCTATCCCTTTTTTCAATCAGTAATTCCACACTTTTAAAGGTTGCCAATAATTAACCTGTACATGAGCATTAATGCCAAAAAGATCATTTTTGTGATCTTGTAGTGAGCTGTTGTTTGTCATATATACACATGTAGTAGGATAAATCGATGGTTTTTCTAACTCAGAATTCCCCAGAGGATTGCGTGCTTTTTTTCTCTACACATTCTTATTACAAATAAAAAAATGCAACAGATATACAAGAAGCATTGCACATGCTGGGGTAGCACTAGCAATTTTTTTCACTTAGCCAAATCACTACATTTTTGTCAATTTGTTATCAAAATGGTTATAATTTGGCTAAAACATGTCAAATCAAGCCCTTTTTCTTTAGCCAATTAAAGTCAGTTTTAGCATTTGGCTAAATTGGCGAGTGTTAGCTCTACCCAAGACATGTCTTAGGTTTCCACCTCTCTTACCGTATCTCTTCAGTTCTGTAAGCTGGGTACTGGGAAGTGAAGTGTTCTAACGCCTGCATAGAGGCAGAGGTACATTCCACATAGGTATAGTCTATCATGATGTCACCTGGAAAAAAAGAAAATGTCAGAGCATGTAACAGTAATAAATAACTTGGCAAAATTTAATGGTAACTGCTGTAAACAGTTTAAAGTAAACTTTGGTTCTTGACAGAGAAAGTATTGTACCTGCACTTTTTTTTGAATGCCTTCAAGGCTAACATTTTACAAAGCATTAAGTGTCTTAAAAGAACTTTTCATCTTCTCACCAAACACTTCAGAGGGATTAAGTAATTCTAGGAGCTTTCCACCCCTTGTGGTTTCATAAGTGGCAAATCCACCATCTGCATTCTTCATGCTAAGTAGCTAAAAATGAAAAATTTAACTGAATTAACAATTGTCATTAATAATTTAAAATATTATATAATACTCATAATATAAATAGTTAGTGGTATTATTTTGGTATTACAGTTGAGGTACTATTTTAAAAATTAATACTAACACTGCATTAATATAGTTCTTTAAATCTGTTCTTGGACTTAATATGGAAGTCAATAGTCAGTCTGTGTGTGTGTGTGTGTGTGTGTGTGTGTGTGTATGTGCGTGCATACATGTGTGCATGCATACCTTAAACGTGTGTTTTGCTGCATGTCCAAGTGTATATTAATTTACACGTGTGTGCATGCAAGAGTGTGCTACCCACCACATCAACAGCCTGATACAACCTCTCCTCTGAGACTGTCTGCGTGAGGAAATCACACTTCTCCTGCAGCAGCATGACTCCCTTGAGTCCCTCTGCAGTGCAGTCAGTCACTATCCAGCCACAGTCCCTGGTGCTGAATGGGAAGCCCCCCTAGAATTCAAAATACATGTGGCATTTGAAATGAAGGCCCAGCAACATGTTGCACTTTGAATTGGAGGGGTATCAATACAGCCTTTTTTAAATAGATTTTGCATTTAGCAATCAGGTGCAGCAGAGCAAATTTTACATGTAATACACACGTGGAAAAAATAATCTCTTGGGTAGGAATTTAACTTAGCTCCTTCTGCTTGGACAGATGTGGTTGAAAAAATTGAGGAAGGGGGGGGGGGGGAAAGTTAGCCCATGTAAAATTTGCTCCAAGGACTTCTGCCCATGTCAGACTTTAAAAATATAAAAAATGTGATCCAGCAAGTTCTGCTTCATGCTATTTTCTTTGTGTAAATGAATAGCAATCATTTTATTAATAATAACAGTACCTTATTCTGATGTCTATAAATCTTCTGATATTCTGGAGGATTTTCTTCTATCTGTGTATTTTTCAAAAATTTGTGAGCATGGTTCAAGCCATTTTGGAAATCTCGGTATTCAAATGCTTCAGCCTGAAAAAAATTATGGCTGAGACATTGAAATAAATTTGGCAAGTAGTAATGATGTCTTTATTGCATATTTGTTCATCCACCAGATTGTGAATTCCAAGTTAAATTACAAAAAAGTCTACTTTCAACTGGTCATAAACTGAACCTACAGAATTTAAATAACAATAGTATCAAAAAGTTTAAAGGCTAAAGGATGTATTACATTCTAGTTTTTAACCTCCATAAAAGCTTGCACAATTAACCTCCATAAAAGCTTGCACAATTTACCTCCATAAAAGCTTGCACAATTTACCTCCATAAAAGCTTGCACAATTTACCTCCATAAAAGCTTGCACAGCAAAAGCTGTATCCCACAGCTGAGAGCCATTGGTGCCCTGTTGAAAACATTCATACTGTCTTATAACTTAAATTTATCACCTGAAAGATGTCTTCAGCATTTGTTCAGAATCAAAAATTAATAAATTAAGATCACATATATGCATATCAATATTGGAAAATAAATAAAACCAAAAATGCAATAATGAAACTATAAATATTATAATTCTGACTACTGATGTGTCCAATACTTTGATTTATTTACCAACCTCTTCGCCAAAACTAAAGTTCTAAAAACTTCCATGCACATTATTTGAATTACAAAAGTATAAAAAATGAATAAATAAAAACCTACTGTCATCTTCATTCCATCTAGTCCTAACCTAAAAAGTGAACAAAAATATTTATTTATCATGACAAATTATCATTTGCTAAGAACTGAAGTGCTGGCATGCATGAATACCATTTAAAAAAGATTAACAAGAATAATACTTCAGTCAATGTCAAGAACAATTCAGACAAGGCACAATCTAGACATGTGGTGTGTGTGTGTGTGTGTTTATGAATTGGTGCATATATATATATATATATATACCCAACTTACCATAGATAGTCTTGTACTCTGTCCTGGTGTTGTTTGAATGCAGCAGAGCTAGGGCCGTCCACATACCACCGTATCAACATTTGTATGACTTTGGAGATCTGAAGCAAAAAATAAAAAATAAATAAATAAGTAAATGCTGTCTCAACATTTATATGACTTTGGAGTTTTAAATATTAACTAATGATTCATTTTACCAATTAATCAAAACAATTCACAATATGGTTTTCAAAATATTATTAATTTAATCTCTAATTGGTATTTTTTTTATTCTCTCAAACTCTATCTGTAACATAAGATGTAAGTGTCACCTAACTTGCTATAACTAAACAGATCTTTGTTATTATCTGGATCTGCTAGTAGGGATTAGCTAAATCTTTAAACTAGTATTTAAAGCATTGCCATTATAGAAACTTTACAAAATTCAAACATACTGTAAAGTGTCTGAGTTATATTTTTTATGTATAAACCATACTAACAGGTCCAATGCTGATCCCTTTGGTGAATTCATCGTCTGCACAAATGTGTGTATAACATTCATGTAAGGAGGCCTGCCTCCATGATGAATTATGGTGTGACTCATAAAAATCTAAGAAATCTGAAAACATACAAGGATAAAATAATTATTGAATCATCTACATGTATCAGCATTTCCATAACTCTTTGTTATCAACCTATGACAGTTATAAATATCTACAAAACCAGCTAGGCAGTCTGTGCTAAACACTTATAAGCCTGCTAATGCAGGAAACTAAGATTTTGAACTGAAATCCTAAAGAAGAAACAGCAGTCAATAGACAAACAAATTCACAAAATTTGAATGACTGGCTTAAATTTTAATGATATTTGGTATGAGCCCAGTGCTACTGTCACAGACTGTCTGAGAATAAGACTAGTCTGTTACATGAATTACTCACAATATTAATTAATAGCATAAAGTAATTTTATCATTATAAGACTGGTTTAAGCCAATTTAAAAGACAGTATAATTGGTTAATATATTACTCACAATATGCCAAGTCTAGGAACCAGCTATGTGGAGTATAGAGGTCAGCACTGGACACATTGTCCCTTTGTGATGACCACTGAATGCTTTCATAGGACTCTGTGTAAAGCTCCTGGGGGCAGAAATTTAAAAAGATTAAGGTGGGAGCTGGATTTTAAAGACACAAATTAAAAGAGGCACAGGACTTAATATAGCAAAAAATAAATTTTCTAAGAAATGTCAACACGATGTACAATACATAATATGTACCGGGTATGTCCAAAAACATGGACAAACTTATCATCTAGCTGTTAACTGTTTTAGGGTTTTAAGTATTTAATTTCTGAGTTGTGCTAATAACGATTTTTGAGGCACGCCCATAATAAATCATAATGGAGATGGAGACTCGGAAGAATTATTGTTGTAATGGTAACATTTCTGAATCACAGAACCATACATCCAAATTATCATTTATCTCCAACAAGTCTACAGTACCAGTAGTGGTCTTTCTCTTCAGTATTAGCTAAAACTTTTTATATGAAAATTGCCAAACTTATATCTTCATGTAACTCAAACAAAATTTCCCAGTCCACTAGCTACTGAGGTAAGATGGATCTAGTGCATTCTTTACATACATGTACCTTTCTTAACTCTCTGATGAGATCATCTTCATCAGCTGAGAGACGCACACCATAGCAGTAGGCCATTGGAAGGTACACCTGGCGACAGTGACACCATAATTTCGAAGGATGTATGGGAATCCAAGTTGGGAATAACCTGAAATAATCACTCTGATTGCAGCCATTGGTTACGCTTTTTAACAAATCTTATATAGAATTATAAGAAATGTCTGAAATTATTATTCTTAGTATTATTTTAATAAGCATAACTGTAAAATCTAACTACACAACTGCTAATCCCACAAACCTACCACATTTCGGGGAACAAGGAGTGCATTCCTTCCCAACTATATAAATTCATGACAGCGAGCCAGAACTTTCCCCAGGACGGAATGGCTGCGGCGCCACCTGGAAAACATTTTAAGTTTATTTTATATTTCGAAATATTGAAAGATCTCAGAGCACAGTTAAATTACTTCGATGGTATTAAAGTGTGCAACTGGCACTCAACCTAGAAATATGAACAGCATAATGGACCACAAAGTATTCCAAGTTACGAGGGGACATGCCAGACAATAAAGCTGATTACAATGACTGCCCTTTAACAAGAATCCCCACTGAGATAGATTGATCCTGCTGGACTGATAATTTCTATTCTGAACACAACCTAACTGTTACCTAATCTATGCAGCAGGCGTCTTGCCTTGACCAGGTCCCTGTCTTCAGGACCCACTCCCAGCAGTCTCATCACCACATAGTTCAGAGCACAGCCAAACACTGTGGGAGGACCCTCGATGTGACTGGAATATTAAAATTTTAAACAATTGCTACCTTCCCATATGCACGGTGCTTATATATTGTAACATACAGAAAATCAGAATATTTTTTATATGTAGTCATGCATCTTTTTGTCAATATTATAAAACTTTTAGAAGAAATACTCATATTTACATACAGTTTAACATTTTTGTCCATTCAATAAAAAAGTAAATAATGATAAAAAATTAATAAATAAAGTTACAATCCTCAACCAAAAAATCACAACTTTTTAAAATCACCAAAAAAATTACTAGTAATAGCACTTAGTCATAAGATCCAAATTCCTATAAATTCACACTCAGAAATACAAATCTGCTTACAGACCCCTTTTAAAAATTCCAAAGTACTTACAGGCCCCAGCCTCCATCTGGGCACTGGACTGATCTCAGATAGCGTATCATCTCTAGTTTTTGCTCTGGCGTGAAGGGAGTTCTAGTTATATGGCACACAATGACCAGACCTTGAATTTTTCAAAATATAATTAAAACTACAAATGCTTGAAATAAAAGTTACAAAAACACTGCTTACAAACAGTTTTCATCTTATTTTTTAAAGTTAATTTATAATCATAATTTTTATATTATTATTATTATTATTATTATTATTATTATTATTCAATTTATGCATTTATCAATAAAATAACAAGAAAAAAATCAGAAATTTGATAATCAAAAAAATATTAATCTGAACTAAAACACCATCTTCATAACAACCTGGCATTAGGAAGAGAGGGCCACCATAGTCTCCTGCCCAGTGGCCGTCCTCCGCCTGGAGCTTGGAATAAAACTTGATACCATTGTATGCAGCCTCCTTTGCTGTGTGGGCTCTGGGCAAATCTGGGGCAACATCACTCTGAAAGAGAGGGTAAAAGTTGGGGAGTTGTTGACTATGGGGAAGCCTACCATTCAGGTTTTCCTTTTAAATATGTCCAAGTGCCTGCTTGTTGTGTGTGAATTTGAGTGGCATCAAAATGAAGTTTACCATGCTAATAATAGGTCTATAAACTATTATAGTGTTACCATCAAGTTTAACATGAAATCTACATGATTGCAAACACCAATGAAAGTCCAACAAGCACACATACATAGAGTTTTTCTAATTAAAAGGCATATATGCATCTGATTGAAAGCTTTTGCTAAAAAAGATCAACATAACTCGCTAGAAAGATATTGTTTCCAAATGTTTATATATGGTGATGTCTTGATTTAAAATGGATAAAGTTTATTAAGCACTCTACTCTAAAGAGAGAAAAGAAAACATCCATTTTTCTTTTTTGCAAAACAAATATAAATTTTGAATGAATGGGTAAAGTACCTCATCTTAGTTCGGTTACTGTATTAAATTTTAAATTTGTGTTTATAGCAGTGTGTATATGTCTTACAGTGTCTAATCCAAGAGAATGTTTCTCTAGAGCCGTCTGTTTTCTCTCGGGCTCTTCTGCATCTGGTATGTACCGCCATGTTTGACGTCCATCTACGTTAGTCAGACGCCACCTGGTGAGATCGGTAGCAGGTTTGGTCTTGTAAGGCCCACCTCTGTTTCGGCGCAGAGTGTTTTTGTATTTGAAAGACATCACATCTGAGCCACCAGTACTGAAAAGGAATTAACTTCTCCACATGTATAAACAAATTTGACAATAAAAATAATGAATAATTATTGTCATTAACATCATCATCATTCTACATTAAATCAAACATGATACTAGTACTAATCTTAAATGTTAGCAGTATGAATTGCATGTACTGTATAACCAGTCCCATATACATGTATATTTTTGGATACATGACAATTTGTACATGTAGTGCATTGTAAAAATGATGCACAGAATATGAACTATCAATAGTTTTCAATTTTAAAGGACTAACAGCACCTAAAATAGTTGATCACTACTACTAGTATTGGGGCAGCGAGTACAAGTACTAACATCATTATTTTGTTACACAGGTACAAGTATTTATATAAGTACATACTCAGTACTGTATATGCCATGAATTAAAACATTAATAAGTTATAATAATCAATGAAATTCTAATTTGAAGTAATGGTTTAACAATCTAATAGTAAGCCTACACATGTCAATGTTTCTAAAGAGCATATAACAATTAAATACCCCAGTGCATGGGTTTGGTAAAGTGATGTATAATCTACAGTACATTGTAGCTTCAGCTAAAAAGACTGTGGTCAAACAAATGTTGCATAAGCAAATACTTTTCCATTTTTAGGCAACTAGAACCCAGGTTAATATCGCTGCGCGGTACACGCACAAATCAAATGCACTACGATTACATATGTGAGGTATCAACCAACGTTGCATGTGTACAGGGTATCTAAAAATTTATATCATATTGTGCTTTAGCTCGGTCAGATTATGTAAATTGCTTCTCGCATACCTGTGTTCCTGCTGCAGATACCAGACCTACGTGAGCAAGACCACGACCTCAGCAGATGAATTAGTTTAAAAACGTTTATAAGCGTGAACTTTATAACATCACCTGAGAAATTGACCTATTTGAAATGTTAGGATTTACCCCCGCTAGACGACAGATTGGACCATGTGAATTCAACCAATCAGAATTTTTCTTGGGCGGCTGGGTACTTTGACCTAATTTTAAGGAAATTCTTCCGCATAAGGGATTCCCCAATAAAAATCGTATGTTGTATGTCTTAAAACGCTTCAAAAGAAATAAGAAGAAAATCTATTAAGATGTTTTGTTTTTCATTTACATGCCTACGTAATTTTTGAAGTGAAATTGTTTTTGATTGAGATCTATTTATGAAAAAATTGCGGATGAATACTCAGACATGCAAGGTGCTCTAGGGCATCAGGTGAATCAGGCGATACGAGGATTCCCCTCAATGTCACTTCTCCCAGTTTTCTGTCACCTGATTTTTTTTGCCCAAAAACTGAGACAGCATTAACGAGGCCACCACGAGCATCTTTGTAGACGCGACCATGGATCGAATCCAGGATTGTAGCCCTACGACGTTGGTCTTAGTTACAGCGGTGGTGATTTTGGTCGTTGCCTACATGTTCAAGAGTTTGCTGGAAAAGAAACCGGTGAGTGGGAACGGCGTGATACATGTACCCAACCACCCATCCCCTCATCACAAGCACGGTTTAAATGTCAGTTAAAATATTATGGCATTTTCTAAATTACTGTGCAATTGAAATACGCAGTGTATGTACAGAATGTAGAATGAATACAAGGCATTTCCATCTTAATTATATGCTTATTTTCAATATCATGCTTTTCAGGAAAATCTTCCGCCTGAGGTACCGTCCAGCATCCCATGGCTTGGTCAAGCTGTCAGTTTTGGCCAGCGCCCTCTCGAGTTCCTAACAGAGGCATATGAAAAGGTACTCACAAATTTGTATAATACCATACTTCGGCTTCACAAGTACAAGTAAAATAATATAAATAGTGACAGTAAAAAGTGGAGAACACTTAAAGCATGCATGTGCAAATACATTACACACACACATGCATACAGGTATATGCATGCATCCACATGTACATGGAGAGTGCACTGACACACATTACAAATAGATTGTAGTAAGTATACTATGATTAGTGGCTCGATTGAAATTTGAGACTTTTGATAAGTACATATGTATTTTGTACATTTTAGCTCTTTTTTTCCACAGGGTATATTGAGGTTTTAATTGAATGTGCCATATGAGAAACTATTATTATTATTATTATTATTATTATATACATAAAGTACTCATTTCTTTCTACCAGCATGGCGCTGTCTTCAGCTTCACAATGGTGGGGAAGACATTTACATTTCTGGTTGGATCTGAGGCATCAGCACTGCTGTTTAACAGCAAGAATGAAAACTTGAATGCAGAGGAGGTGTACAGCAAGTTGACGACCCCTGTGTTTGGACGAGGGGTGGCATATGATGTCCCCAATCATGTGAGTTGAAGTTCAGGGTGATCAGGGTACTTGTTAACATCCTGAGTTTCAAATTTAAGACAAGGAGTGGCTTAATGTGGTGTCCCCAATTCAGTGACTTACAGTTGAAATTCAGGGTCTCCAGAATGCTTGCAATCACTAGCTCTTTTAAAATTGCCCCTGGCATTATATTTTCTTTTCAGCTTTTGTGGGTAATTCTGATTGCTTTCACAGATTTTTAATGCTGGTTAAAAACATCATTACAAATCATTCCTTACTGAAAAATAGCCCAATACATTTCTAATGCATATTGACAAACGTGCAACAGATAATTTGTGAAAAAAAAAGACAAATTAATGGTTGATTTTTCAGATTTTCCTGGAGCAGAAAAAGATGTTTAAGACTGGTCTGAACATTGCCCGTTTCAAGCAACATGTCCCTATGATAGAAGAAGAGACAGTGGAATACTTCAAAAGATGGGGAGATGCAGGAGAAAGAGGTGAAATATACAATACTGTTTTGCATTGATTTTATACTATAATTGAAAGATACTCTTCCACATTAATACTTCAGTAAATGATTGAGTATCGCTCGTCCTTATCTTATATTTTGGTGGGACCAAGGCAGAAAGCTTAATATATGCATTAGTCATGCCTTTATGCAGGGAGACAGATAGACAAAAACAGACAGACAAATAGATAGATCATCAATGACATCTGCAAAAATTGATAGTTCCATGTTATGGATGTTATGTAATAGTTGTGGGAAGTTGTTTGAGAATTAATTTTCTCTTATATTCACCTATTTTCCCTTTCAGATATATTTGTCGCCCTGTCAGAGCTGATCATCTTAACTGCCAGTCGCTGCTTACATGGTACAATTTTTTTTTTAGAAAATAGTTTGATAATTAATACAGTCATTTAATATGCATGCAATATTTGTTGACTGACCTATAGGTTGAAATTATTAATTGAAACAATGGTCACATCTCAATTCTGTTTGATACCATATCACTAGATAGAAATGAAGTGATTCAATAAATATAGAATCTGAAATAAAAATGGTTTTGCACTTAGAAATAATTTCCAGTAAGATTATCAGAAGGGTGATAATTTAGAAAGTATAATTAACGTTTGTCTTTTTATCAGGAAAAGAGATCAGATCAGTGCTAAATGAGGAAGTAGCCCAGCTGTATTCTGATTTAGATGGCGGTTTCAGTCATGCAGCTTGGCTTTTACCTGGATGGCTGCCACTCCCTAGCTTTAGGTACACTTGTGAATTTAACAAAATAAAAATTTTTAATTCAAAAGATTAAATCTAATTTATGAATAAAATTAGGGGAAAGCAAATATTTTAAAGTTGAATTATTTTTTCAGCAGAAATAAGGAAAAAAAGGTAAATAATCTGTACCAGTATAAATTGAATATTAAGGAGTTTAACCCTCTTATGTGAGATAAACTTGGGTTTTTTTATGAAGAGATGAGGGAGAAGAGGGGTTGAAAGCAAAAGTCCTTCTCCAGCTCATGTTTTCTCCAACTGATTATTTCAAAGAAAAAAATATTGGTTCTCTTTTCCTCCCTCAGATTCTGTGATTAAAAGTAAATACTTTTTGATATTTCTAGAAAAAGGGATGCAGCTCACAAAGCCATTAAGCAGGTGTTCTACAAGGCCATTGCTAAAAGACGAGAGTCCCAGGAAAAAGAGGATGACATGTTGCAGACTTTACTGGACTCTACTTATAAGTGAGTGACTGTATAATACATATGCTTAATGTTAATCTTTGAAATTGTTTGCAGCAGAGGTTAGGCATTAAAGTAATCGGAAACACTTTAAATGTAATATCTCCCACATTACACAGAAAGGTATCTTGTCTTTGAAAGTGATGTTTGTCTGTGTTGCCAAAGTGGAAACTACCCTGGTTGAACTATATTTAACATTACTGTTGGACTTGTGACACAGTGTTGCAAATTTGGTTCTAACTCAATGTGATTTTTCTTTAGCCTAAAAAGTCAAGTTCGAAATAAGATCCCACCAGATTTTTATTTATTTATTTACTTATAATTCTTGGATAATTTTCATTTTAGAACAGGCCGTCACCTCACAGATGATGAAGTAGCTGGTATGTTGTTGGGACTTTTAATGGCTGGCCAGCATACATCTTCTACAACAAGTGCTTGGTTAGCCTTCTTCTTGGCTAAAAATAAAGATATTCAGGTTTGTGAATTTTGTCTTCAAGGTATGACTGAGAATCAAGTGCAGTTCTTCGTTTTTTTATAATTGTAATAATATTAGCATGTTATATACAGTTAGTTTTTGGGTATGAAAGGTCATCATGTTGGGTATTTGTATTTCATTTATTTATTTATTTATTATGTACAAAAACGTGTCTACATTTTGAGTCGCCATCATGGTGATCTGTTTGATATGTTGTCTTCACAAATGTGGTAGGTGTTGTGTACTTCGTGTTTTTTGTATTTTAACTGCTGTTGTGGCAGTTATGAAATGGTGGTATATAGTTTTTGTTTTATCACATTGACAAATAAAGGGCTTTAATCAATATCCCAAAAAAAAGTCATTGTCATTGTCTCCTGTCCAACCTCGGTGGTCAGCCATCTGGACACAGTTTGAAATTAACAAAAGAGAAATGTCCAATTATAACGTTCTCTAAAGTAAATAATATCCTAGCATAAATTTTCTTAAAAATAAATTTTTTCTGTTCTTGTTTAAAATCATCTCTGTGTATATAATGCTTTTCTCTTTAGGACCAATTATATGAAGAACAGGTGTCTGTGTGTGGGTCAGACTTGCCACCATTACAGTATGACCAGTTGAAGGACCTCACCCTCCTGGACAGGTGTCTGAAAGAGACTCTCAGGCTCAGACCACCTATTATGGTTGTTATGAGAGAGTGCAAAACACCACAGGTAAAAGTAGAGAATTATTTCACTCGTTCAGATTCAAACATCGTACCAGCTGGATCAGTCCACCTTTGCAAGTTGACTTTGTATAACAGTTTTAAATGCTTTGCATAATAACAATACATTTCTCTTCTTTTTAATCTTTTTTAAGTTCAGAAATTTAAAACCTGCCCAAATACATGTAGTCTTGCTAAAGGAAATAACACTTAGACTTTTGAAATTGAATTTAAAACTATTCTCCACATACCAGTAATTTTGTGCCTACACTTGTATTTCGTTTTAACATGATTTTTTATATTGTAGAAAGTGAAAGGATACACAATACCCCCAGGTCACCAGGTATGTGTGTCACCAACTGTCAACCACAGCCTCAAAGACCAATGGGGACAGGACAATGACCAGTTTAGACCCGACAGGTGACCTCTCTCTCTCTCTCTCTCTCTCTCTCTCTCTCTCTCACACACACACACACACACACTGTCAGATTGTTCTTTAGCTTTTATAGAGAGTATAAATAGGATTCTGTATGTCATTGGTTTGAGTGCATGCTGTTAATTATCTTAATTTATGCCTGATGAAAATAATTTAAATTGATAAATTAATACTTTCAATGTCCTTATGTATTTTATAAAATGTTCGATTTACTATATCTTTAAATATTCTACAAATGTGTCAATTGTATTATATCTATTTACCATGAAAAAATTCAATTTGCGCAAGGTGTTTCAGTGTTTATACATTCCTTTGCTTGCTAGACCATGAAATCAGCACCACATTAACTTTTTTTATCTTTCTTTTCCCTCTGCTACAGGTTTCTCTCCGACGAAACTTCCAACAGTGAAAAGTTTGCCTACATTCCTTTCGGAGCTGGACGCCATCGCTGTATTGGGGAAATGTTTGCCTATGCCCAGATCAAAACGATATGGTCCGTCCTGCTTCGAAAATATGAATTCGACTTAGTGGATGGGTATTTCCCCTCAGTGAATTATACAACCATGATCCACACGCCTTATAAACCTGTTATTAGGTATAAGAAGAGGTCGAGACCACTCTGATGATGTAGCAAAATTATCAAAATTCTTGTCATTAATTTTTTTTTTTTACTAGAGTGGTTAATTATTTCTTAAAGTTGAATTTATTGCGTAGTGGTAAATAAATTATACCGTGGTAATTTTAATTAAGCTAATTCATTGTACTGCGGTGGAAATTCTATAAAATGGAATACAAATCTACCGAACAGGTTAGAAACCAAAGGACTGGAAAGACTTGCTTGATACTTATAGTAACATGTTTGTTGCCCCCACCAGACGCTGACTGAGAGGTGACGCAATTGTGCATAAATCCTACCTGATCATTTAACTAAAATGTGCACAGCTAATAGTGAATGCCTAGAGAAATATCGGTGAACATGTAGTAAAACGTTCTATGGCCCTTGCAGAGGGTAACATGTTCATAATCTCAGGATAAATGAAGGAGGGAGCGAAGCAGTATTTTTAATCGACATTGCAAAACCGTCTTGATACTTAACCGTCTGAATGAATATTAACTATATTAAGTTTTGTTAAATTAAGTGTTTTAAATGGATTGCTTTAAACTATTCATACTTTTGTCTGAAATGAGATCTGTAAATATTGTATGCGTTTCTACATTGTTATTCAATATACAATTTGTTAAAAGTAAAAAAGATGAATGGTCAATAAGAAGCTTTTGAACGAACACGCTGAGAGCGTAAATTTCTTGTTATTGCTAAATCCGTATCGATTGTCCCCTGCGAGAATATTATCATTAAACCTTTTTTCTAACTCTCTCTAGTGTAAAACGAATGCGGTTTTATTTGCGAAAAAAAAAACGCTGTGACAGTGTGTGCTGATAATGTGAGGGCCCGCATGTTTTGCGCAAATGGCTGATGCTAGCGTTATATGGATTTTCCGGTTCTTGTCGTGTCGTGTCACCTACTGTGGCTATTTGGACATTTTTGGACAGCAGCAGAAGGGGGTTGGTCCATTGGAGAGAGGAGGCATTTGAGCCTTATACCCTATTCCCACAGATTTTAGATCGATCTATCCCTGTGGGGAGTCTCACTAGATTACTGTCAGCTTAGCCGGCTTAAGCGTCTGTCCCGCCTACTAAAAGCTGTGAGTGGGTAATTTACTACCGTGCGCGCTTGGCCGACAGCAATTTAGTCGAGTTAGGTCGATCTAGATGGATCGATCTAAATTTGAGGGAATGCAGCCTAATACGCGGGTCCATAGTGCGTGTGTGGGAGTTTTAGTTGAAGCATGTTTTAGTTGAAGCACAAGGATAAAATTTTGGCTTGATCACTTCACTCGGCAAATTTAAAACTGTTCTATATGACATTTTTACTTTCATGTGTTGAGCACATGGTTGGAATGCTTAGTTTGGTTTTGTGTATGTCGTTCGTTATGACTTCCTTTTAGGGACGGACGGGGGGAGGGAATAATGTATATACGGAGATCGATAAAGGGGGGGCACGTTCTTGTTTTCCCCTCCTCCCTCTCCATTTATCCACCATGGTAATACATTAAACCAATAACTCTTCTGTACATAAATTCACTCGACCCTTAAACAAAATCTAGGGGTCACTGTTCAGCGGTCCAGGGCAAAATGGACTGGTCAACACCACTTTTTATCCAGAATTATCGTTGCAAACTATAATTACTTCGTCATGTATCAATTCCCGCCCTTAGTTCACTAGGGTGTCTCCCGTTTTAACCAACATACATAATTGTAAAACAAAGCAAATAATTTAATTCAAAAAAGACATTTAAAGTCTTGGCTATAAATATCGGTACATACTATACATTGTCCCAGTTTACCCTTTTAATGTCATTATTATCATGTTTAGTTTAATAATAATAATGATAATGATAATAACATATATTTTGAACAACGCCTAAATTTATTACCTCGGTCATATTTATTACCTTGGACATATATTATAGGTGCCGTGTACATGGTGTGCCCTAAATTTATTCATTTGTGCCCGAGGTAAAGCCCGCACTCCATATAACTCCGCCTCCTGCGTAGGTCGTTGCCATATATATATATATATATATATATATATATATATATATATATATATATATATATATATACATATATATATATATATATATATATATATATATATATATATATATATATCATACATGTAGATACATGCATACCTGCATGTCTACAGTTTAGTCGAATTCCCAGGTTTGTGCCCTCTTGTTTACCCTCTGATATAAGGGACCTCTAAAATACAGAAATGTAGTATACAAAAGTAAAGTATCGGTGTAAAAAAACTACTAGCGCACCCTGTGGTCAGAGAGCACCTAACGTTAAGAGGTCACAGCTGATACTGTGATGAGTTTACAGTGACCTTTGACACACAGGGTGGTCCTCGATAACCACTAACACGAAGGTAAACAATGTGTTGCTGGGTATATAACCTTACTGTGTTGTGCCTTAGAGATGGGTACTGTTGATGAACTAAGCTAACGATCTGCGTTATTTTGCGCTTGTCTTCTGCTCCAGGACCTAACATCTGTGTTGTTGGTTCGACCTGTGTGACGTCATACGCGACAGACCACAACGTAACAGCAACAGGCGAGATTACATCTTTGCGGTTTCTCCTTTAAAAAACATACTAGCGAGAAAGAAGCGTTATTTATCACAAAATGGCAGCAACCTCGAGCTTCACCTTGACTTTGCTTGTGGGGTTCCTCTGTTGTTCTCTGAGCTTAAACACTGAGCAGGTGCCGTGTTACACCTCTGAGAAATCCCCATATCGGTTATACGGTTCCAAGACGGCGTACGAGGAGATACCGGCGAATTGGAATGGAAGTGTAACAAGGAATACCGACTCGGTGGAGCAAGGTGAGGAGTTGTCCTCGAGTAGATGTCCAAGGAAAGAACGGGTGACGGGTCGATTAATTCCTCGTCCTGTATGTGAGCGCTTGCGCGTTCAGGATTTCACTCAAGGTTAATGAATCGTGATTCTGGGAAGGGGGTGCTCTATACTATAGGCCTACTGGGTGATGGAATTAATTGCATGCCAAAATTCATGTTGGACAGTAGTAAAAATTGTCAGCTAGGGACATTTGTGAATATCTTGTGAACATCATGCAGAGGGTGTGATTGCGGCTCAAAGCTAAATAATATTTGCTGAGCGACATAAGAAAATATAAAACGGTGGACGAGGGCAAGTTTGTTATAATTTGTAGAGGATAGGGTTTTAAAAATAAGTTGCTTTTGTTTCGATTTGCTCGCTATACTGATTTATGGGAACTGAAAAGTGAGCACTTTTGAAGTTGGGGAGGAAGTTGGCTCAAAAACTGAAAAAAAAAAAAAAAAATTAACACAAAATCGGGTTTATGGATTGTGATTCTGTCAACGGTTTTGATATGGCGTATACCTTCGTGATTATATAAAAGAAAGTATAGACATAACCAGTGATATTTTTGCTATAGCCTATAAAGGTTTAACGTAAATGATGCGACTTGAAGCACCAGCGTCTAACTTTTCATTTATTTACTTAGCGCACTTATCATGCTCAAAGATCGAGTGTCTGTCTCATTGTTTCACATTTATCACATCTTATCTTTGTGGAACGACTACGTAATGTTTCTTGTGACATGCAGATGTAAAGTGACAGAGAGTCCCCCATGATAGAGGGTCCGCTTTCCATTCATTTGTGCAAGTAAATCTAGATTTTGACCCATTTAGGTCAGGCTAACCCTAACCATAATAACTAAATGGAGGGCGGACTTTGTTACATACGCCCTTACTTACACTGGCACAATATTTGAACATAGGTTCACGGTGAAGATAAGGATAAATAAGGATTATAGAAGAAAAAGGAAATAGACGCTGGTGGTGTGAGCGGAAGGGCAAGTAGCTTTAAAACTTTTGACACAGATTGTTTGATTAATATCTTGTCACTAGACCAGTAATTGACCAAACAGAACTAAAAGGTTTATTTTCCTCGATAAAAAAATGCAGTTTCTTTACAACTCAAGAGTCATTGTTGGAACCGTCCCTGTACTTGGATTCGATGTTTTGTACCGTTTGTAATTGAACAACACGGTATAAATCTAATCACGTTTTATTTAAACCGATATGTTTTCCAGCCATTTCAAAATTGATGAATAAATAAATATCGACCTCAGATACTCTTATTGGAGGGTTATTTCGTTTTTAGGAATCACTAATAAAACTTTTAAGTGCAAACATGTATATAGTTTTGGGTGACGTTAAGACATAAATATATGACAGTGCTGCATTTTAAAGGTTTATTATATCCTACACAATTAAAACATGTATATAGTTTTGGGTGACGTTAAGACATAAATATATGACAGTGCTGCATTTTAAAGGTTTATTATATCCTACACGATTAAAACATATCCCCAGGTTGCAATCCAATCATGATTTGGCATCTGAATCGCCATGGATACCGTTACCCTGGAGACGATGACATAGAGCTGTTCAACACCGTACTACCTGTATTCAGAGACGGAATTGTAAATAATGCTACAGGTGAAGTTAATGAACAGGAAATGCCTGTAAGAATTTTAGTTCAAAATGAAGTTATTTTTTTTACAGACAAAAATGCGTTCTCCCAAATACATAAGCTTAATCCATTAAAACATCTCTCAACAACGCGCACGAGCTCCTCTATCAAGACAATTTTGTGAGCTGTAAATTTTGTTTCGAATATTTTATTTCCTTTATCTTGTGTTGTCCCACAAGCTCAGTACATACTTTGGTAATTAGGAACCAATATTCTTTTTTTCAAAGTCCCTTTTGATGTGAAAAAAAATCAAATTGTTTTACTCTGTTCTCAAGCTGTATTTAATACATCGTTGTCTTTTTGTATTTAGGAAAATGGCCAGTGTCCAGTTTTATGAAGACGACATTATAAACTTTTTGCTTTAATTGTTTAGTGGCCGGTCAGTTTTGTGCTGGAGATCTCGCGGCACTACGAGACTGGACCCCAAGAATGGTTCCCAGGGATGATTCCAAGCTTGTGGAAACTGGTCATCGAGAGTTAATGAGCATTGGTAAGACACAACATTATCTTAGACAGTTATTTAGTTGCCGAAAGTATAGAACCTAGAATACAATCATTATTAATAAAAAATGAGTCAGTTTGCATCTGACCATTTTTACTAATTCATTCTTTCCTATGGATCACAAAGGACGGAAAGCAAAAAAAAAAAAAAAAAATAATAATAATAATAATAAAAAAATTTAAAAAAAAGGTTACAGGATATACTGCAGTTCTTACTTAGTATTTCTTACATTGCATAACACAAGTACATCAGCTTTTTTTATCGTGTGCGTATCCAATTTATGCACCGTTTTTGCTAAACATATTTCCAGCTGACCATTTCCGGGGAAAATATCCCTCCTTACTGAATGTATCAGTGGACGCACTGTTGGCGAATTTCACCTTCCGCCACACCGATAAGGAGAGAACGAGAATGAGCGCTAAGGCGTTTGTAAAGGGGCTACTTAAACAACCAGGTAATTTATTTAATGTCTTCAAACAAGGCCAGACTGAAGGAGGTTTTATTTAAGCACCCAGATAAGTGACTGCATGTCATATTAAATGCAGGCGTGCNAAAAAAAAGGTAACAGGATATACTGCAGTTCTTACTCAGTATTTCTTACATTGCATAACACAAGTACATCAGCTTTTTTTTATCGTGTGCGTATCCAATTTATGCACCGTTTTTGCTTAACATATTTCCAGCTGACCATTTCCGGGCAAAATATCCCTCCTTACTGAATGTATCAGCGGACGCACTGTTGGCGAATTTCACCTTCCGCCACACCGATAAGGAGAGAACGAGAATGAGCGCTAAGGCGTTTGTAAAGGGGCTACTTAAACAACCAGGTAATTTATTTAATGTCTTCAAACAAGGCCAAACTGAAGGAGGATTTATTTAAGCACCCAGATAAGTGACTGCATGTCATATTAAATGCAGGCGTGCAGATATTTAATTAAATGAATAACGTAAAACAGAGTTAGTTTGTAAATTCAGAGGTTCAACACGAAACACCCTCAGGTGACGAGGTGGAATGCACTCAACAACAACAACAACAATAATAATAATAATAATAATAACAATAATAATAATAATAATAATAAATGACCAGGTGAAGTATGTTTTATAAACTATTTTTCTTTATCACTGATGGATTAATTTGTAAACAATTTTTATTTGAACATTTCAGGAATGTCTGATGCCGAGCTAAATGCACTGGTAGACCGAGTACCGATGGTTGTCCGAGAAATAGGAAAGGACTTACTTCTACGTTTCTACGATGTTTGCGAAAAATACATTAAGGTAGGATTCTTTTTAATATTTCTAATATCATTTAGGCCTATTTGATAAATTAGTGTTGTGTGCGAGTGTGATATCAACTTCAATTTCAGCGAGCTCTGAGTATTTTAGTAGAGCTTAGAGATACAAAAAAGGAAATTCACACGTCCGTAAACAAGTCAATACAGTGTGTGTGTGTCTGTGTGTGTGTTTGTGTGTGTGTGCGCGAGCCTGCGAGCGTGTGTGTATACAAGCCCGTAGCCAGAAATTTCAAAAGGGGGGTTCTGTTTCTGAGAAAGTAAAACTTTCATGTACCTGAATTAAATTTCACCCAGAGGGGACCTTTTCCCTGCAAAAAGGGGGTTCTTTCGAACCCCTCGAACCCCTCCTGGCTACGGGCCTGGTATACTTTTCAATATAGTATATAGTTGTATACTTTTCATTTTCATCCCACAGACCGTAGATGAGCAGCCAGTAGCAGAGCTAGAGAAGTTCTACAAAGCCTCGGTGATGGCTAAAACGAGAGGGGACGTATCAATGAGGCTGGGACTGGATCAAAGTTTGAATGAAAGTTAGTGAATACCTTTTTTTTTTAATCGCTAGAAGGTTTGGTTGAAGCAATCGTGACTTTGTTCTTCAATTATATTTATTTCCTCAATATCTATTTATTAACACACTTCACTTTGGCCAACATTTTGAATTAATGACTATTAATAACGTTTAAACTTTTAAGTATTAAATTTGTTTTCACTAATAAAAATGAATTTTATCTTAGTTCTTAATATCCATCAATATCCTTATTCCTTTGAATTAGTAATTCTATAATTGATTGCGCCATTTATTCAACTTTTTTCTGTTTGTCGAAGTATTTATTAATTATAATAAGCAAAATTTATAATAATAATTGTTATTATTTATGTGAAGATATTTCACACTGTATATTCAGTTATTGAAATGTAAACGTATCTCTTTCGAGTCTATCTTTACTACATGGAGTACATATACATTTAACATGGACAGAAGGTACATGTACAGGTATGGGTGGGTTGACTATACCAGATACTTTCACAAGTAGGTCTTAAAAGGTAACATTCCATTTAATATTTCTAATAAATACTGGTTACAATTTTAGTGAAATGCTTATATAATTATTATATAAGAATTTAGGCGGAATTATTTTCTTTATCAGCGGTTGCCGAGGCTCTGTGGCTAGCATGTGCCAGCGAGTACGCCATATATGGGCTTACCCAAGACAAAACCGTCCGGAACTCAAGTGCTGCCCCCTGGTGCTCACTTTTTACACAGGAGGAGCTGAAAGCTTTTGAGTACGTTGCCGACTTGGAATATTATTACAAGAACTCCTACGGGAATGAAGTAAACTACGAGCAGACGTGTCCGTTATTGAAGGATTTAATTGGAGCGATCAGGTATGTAAGTATGTATGTAGGCCTATGTGTGTATGTATGTATTTGTGAATTATTTATTTACGTACTTGAGATAAAGAATATAATTAAAGAAACAGCATCAATAATGGTTAACTGGTAAATCATATACAATGCCCATGTTCATCAAGATTAAGTAAGTGACTGAGTGATAGTTTCTGTTTTTGGTTTCTGTATTTGTGCATGGTAGTATATCTAGATTTCTGCTACGAATACGAATACGGATACATGAATTTAAATGGTACACAATCTTATCTATTAAGGAACGCAACGACCGGGTCTAACTTTCTTCATGGGCTGTTTAGATTTGCTCATTCAGCCACAATTGTGCCGTTCTACTCTGCTCTTGGACTGTTCAAGGATGCCCAGGCCCCGACCTCCGATAACTATGACTCTCGAGCAGACAGAAAACTTCGAACCAGCTACATTGATTCCATGGCCTCAAATATCAACTTCGTAATCTACAAATGTGAAGACACACACAAATTCAAAATCCATGTGAACGAGCGCGAAACTCTGTTACCCGGATGTAGTGACATATTGTGCGACGTCAGTATACTGATGGATAGCGTGGGAAAAGTCGCAGACGCGTGCGATTTTGAAAAGATCTGTAAATGGCCTGTTAACCCGCCGATAGGGAGAGCCACAAGAGATGCGGTTGCCACGACAACTTTGATGCTGACATTCCTTGTGCTTCTTTTATCTAGGCAGTTATAATAGTAAAAGTTAGTAGTTTTGTTATCTAAGGTTAATGTGTTCGTTTAGAAAAGTAATAGACTTTATGTATGTTGCAAGGTTTTGTATTTAGAAGTTCTTTTAAAGGTACCCGTTTTAAAATTTCACGAAGTCATATTTATGCATGTATATATCCTGAAAAGTTTCTTATCCTTTCCTATTTTACCTTAAATACGATAAAACCCTTCCAATAAAAGAATCCGATTTCTAAGGTATAATTTGTTTAGACGAATGTTGGAAACAAGCAATAGCAACGTCGGTGCAGATAGTACACACACTATGCAAGTATTTGTGTATTCGTGGTACTCTATTTGGTTTCTCTCTTTATACACACAGTGGACAATAGAAGTGTCACCCCCTGAATCAGAGTAATCAAATAAAAATCAAGTAATCAATAAGCAAAGTAGGCAGATCTTGAATAGTTATAATGCCTGGTCTACATTTTGTGTTTTTTATGTGAAATTTGATGTTGATAAAATGATACCAGGAGCATATCATTCCACAGTTATTTAGCTCCCCCAAAGTATTGGTTCAGTAGGGGTGACACTTCTATTGTCCATTGTGTGTACATACAGCCAAATGTTGTTGCGGTCATCATGTTATGCAGGATATACACATTAAAAAAATCCGAATGCACCAGTAGGAACAAGTCTGCAAGACAACTTTACTTTCATGGTACTGATCTTAACAGGATTGTCGCTAATAGTAGGCCTGACGTGACTCAATAGAACGGTTCGGCATCAGACGTCATGCTCAGACTGAGCTCGGAGTTTTTTTTTTTAAATGAGCACTGAGGGGTAAAAACGCAGATTTCCAAATTATGACCTTTTCCTGTACTCTCAATTGCCAATAGTCCATTGCCAGTCA